GTAAAGTTTTATATTTTAGAAATGGAGGGAGTACTACACAATCAAAAATAATATCTACCTCGTGTGGAACAGAGATATCATAATTTAGTGATATTATTTCAAGTTTAGTGCACCAAAACAATAGTCATGCAATGATATTTATTTATACAATATATTTCTTTTTTTGACGTTATTTAATGAAGAAAATATCTTTTTTTTTTAATGAAAATAAACAAAATATCACGTAGCTTAAAATCTCCTTTTTGTGTTAACAACCCCAACAATGAAAAATTCTGCTGCTCTCGTCACGTGCATTAAATACTTCCCAAAAATTCAGACTTTCCACATTAAATTATAGAGATATTATTAAAAAAAACAAAAATCGTAACCTCAAGTTGTTTCCTTTTTTTTTCCAATACAAAAAAGGAAAAAAAAATCTCAGTATATATATCGAAGAACTCTCACCAAGAGGTACCACCACTAACCGTCACGAGCTTCGTGCTCTCCTAAACGAATTTTGATTCCACCAAAAATCAAATTTAAATCAGAAATTTCCCAATTCTTCGAAATTATCTCAGAGATTTTGCTTCAATGGAGTGGGTTCGAGGAGAAACAATCGGATACGGAACTTTTTCTACAGTAAGTCTAGCGACGCCGTCAAATAACGATTCCGGCGAGTTTCCTCCGTTAATGGCCGTGAAATCGGCGGATTCATACGGCGCCGTTTCGCTCGCGAACGAGAAATCGGTTTTGGATAAACTCGGAGACGACTGCGACGAGATCGTACGGTGTTACGGCGAAGATCGGACGGTCGAAAACGGCGAAGAATTGCATAACTTGTTTCTGGAATACGCTTCGAGAGGAAGCTTAGCGAGTAATCTAAAGAAATTAAACGGTGAAGGTCTACCGGAATCCACCGTACGTCGCCACACAGGATCGGTGCTTAAAGGTCTACGACACATACACGCGAACGGATTCGCTCACTGCGATTTAAAACTCGGGAATATTCTGTTATTCGGTGACGGCTCCGTTAAGATTGCGGATTTCGGATTGGCGAAGAGAACGGGAGAAGTAACGGAGTCAATTAACGGAGGAGTGGAGATTAGAGGAACGCCGTTGTATATGGCGCCGGAATCCGTTAACGATAACGAGTACGGATCAGAAGCTGACGTTTGGGCTTTAGGATGCGTTGTAGTTGAGATGTTTAGTGGTAAAACGGCATGGAGTTTTAAAGAAGGATCAAACTTCATGTCGTTGTTGATACGTATCGGTGTTGGAGAAGAACTTCCGATGATTCCTGAGGACTTGTCGGAACAAGGAAGAGATTTTTTGTCAAAGTGTTTTGTTAAAGATCCTAAAAAGAGATGGACGGCTGAGATGCTTTTAAATCATCCGTTCGTAGCCGTCGATATTGATCACGATGATCTT